CAACCGCCACCATCGTTATCATCATCGTCAGCATCTTCATCTCATCTTCATCACAATCGCCATCGACATCAACATGATCATAATCATTATCATCATCATCATCATCATCATCATCATCATCATCATCATCATCATCATCATCATCAGCATCATCATCATCGTCATCATCATCATCATCATCATCGCCATGATCGCCATCATCATCATCATCATCATCATCATCATCATCATCATCATCATCATCATCATGATCATCATCAGCATCAGCATTATCATCATCATAATCATCATCATCATCATCGTCATCAGCATCATCATCATCATCATCGCAATCATCATCATAATGATCAGCAACAGCAGCAGCATCGTCGTCGTCAGCATCATCATGTTCATCATCACCATCATCACCAGCATCCTTATCACCAGGACCATCAGCACCTTCATATAAATCTTCATGTGCGTATTCATCATCATATTCATTATCAGCATCACCATCACCATCATCACCATCATCAACAACATCAGCGCCATCGTTAGCGCCATCGTCATCATAATAGGCATCAGCATCATCATCATCATCATCTTCATCATCATGAGCATCATCAGCATCATCAGCATCATCATCAGCAGCAGCATCATCGTTATAATCGTCCTCCCGGGTGAGCCTTACTGGCGGTGCGATGGTGGTAAAAAAAAGCCAGAAGATGACGGAGATGCCTCTTTTACTGGTGGCAGTACTGGGGCCCTGTGCGCAGGGCCCCTGCCACTCACAGGGACTTGATGCCGCAAGGTGGTGGGTGGGTTGCTCAAAATCGGCCTGGCGCCCCATGGCCAGACACCGAGCAGAGAGGAGAATACACTCACATGTTGGCACAAGGGGCCGTATCCCCGATGAGCTCAAACAGCGGTGCGATAGCGGCAGCAAAGGGGCGTGAGATGACGGAGATGCCTCCTTTCTGAGTGGCGGTTCTGGGCGCCCTGTGCGGAGGGCCCCTGCCAATCCACGAACTCGATGCCCCCCCGATCGACGGGAGTAAGACGCCAACAAGGGGGGAGGATCCCCGGAGGTGATGAGGCGCATAATTACTGGGGGCATCCCTAGACGCTGCGAGCGTCGGGGACCCATCCGACCTCACCTCGCTCGAATTCCCGCTTCTCATGGCACCACCGCCTGCGCCCGCACCGCACCGCCCAGGTGCACAAGGGGGACTCCCACCCCCGGCCGCGGCGGAAGGATGAGGGTCCACGAGCAGGCAAAGGGCCCCCGCCGTGGCGACGCCGACCTGTGGGTGGGGGTTCAAGACGATCCCGAAGGCACGCCACGGTGCCGCTGCAGGCAGGGCCGCGAGGGCGCGCGAAGCCCTGCCCACCTCAGGCCCCACGTGGTTGAGGCACCCCGCCCGCCCTGGACTCCCACCCCCGCCGCGGCGGAAGCATGGGGGTCCACGGGCAGGAAGAGGGCCCCCGCCGTGGCGGCGCCCACCAGAAAGTGGGTCCGCAACACGACCCCAGCAGAGGGGCGCCGGACTGTCACTCGGTCCCCCCCTATGTTCGGGGGCCGCCGCCGAGCCCTGCCCAGGACGCGCCCCAAGGCGGGCGGCGACGGCCCCTGAGCGGGGGGTACTCCTAGCGGCCTACGCGGGAGCCGCTGGCTCCAGCTGGGATCGCCTCGCCTCCGGAGCAGCGGCCCCGAGGGCCAGGGGCATCCCCCACCGGCCTGGCGGCCATCGATGGCCGCCCGACCTTCGGCGGGGGCCCCTGCCGAGGTCCCAGCCGGGCCCGGCCGCGCCGCGCGCCGAGGCTGGACGCGGCTCGCGGCGCCGCGAGGGCGAAAACACAGAGCCTGCTGGGCTCCATTTTCACGGCAGGATCGCAGAGCCCCTGGCGGCGGCCCCCGCCCCGAAGGGTCGCGCTGAGCCCCGCCGGTGCTGGCGCTCGCGACCGAACGGGCGCAGCTCGCGGGTCACCGAGGGCGAAACCACGGAGCCTGCTGGGCCTGCCGCGCTGCTCGGTCTGCAGGAGCGGGAAATTAACCTTCGCGTTCCACGTCAAATTATACACCTTGCATCGTAAGTGACCACGCCCAGTTGTGAGCCGCCGCAGCTGCTCCAAACTGCCCTGGTTGCGAAATTGTCCAAAATTGCTGTCTCTCCCAGCGCTGATCTCTGCGCCCATCGCCCCTTTCCCTGGCCCCCTTGCGGCCTGCGGGCCGCCGGCCGTCGGCGAGACTGCCGTCGCGAAGCTGTCGGCGAAGACGTCGGCGAGGCTGTCGACGGGGCCGCGGGCCGCCCGCCGCCGGCAGGGCCGTCGGCGAGGCTGTCAGCGAAGCCGTCGGCGAGCACAAACTCGGAGCCCTCCAAATTTCCGTCGCGGCCTGACGGCCCACGGCCGTCCTCCAGCTGCCCCTCGCGCGCCAGGTTCGCGGCGCCCCACGGCGCCCCCTCGCGGCGGCCCCCCTCGCGCTCGCACCCGGCCCTGGGCCGTGCGACCACGGGGCCCAGCGTGACATCAGCGGCGGGAGCAACGCGCGCGCGCTCCTGCTTCGCGCGCGCCGCAGCGCCCGCGGCCGCCGGGGCCGCGGCCGTCGGAGGCGGCCCCGCCCTTTGCAGCCCGGCGGCGAGCGGCCGCCCTCCAGCTGCTCCGGCGCCGCGGCCAATGGCGCTGGTCTCCAGCCCCCTGTCGCAGCAGCTGGCCGCGCGGGAGACCGCCGACGCTGCTCGCCCGTCTTGCATCGCAGGCGCTGGCCCCGGAGTTGTAGCCAATGATGATGGCACCTAGCTTCTTCTTGCAGCAGATCGATGGGCAGCTCGCCGAGCAGCTCCGGGGCCCGCTGCCCTGCGCGTCTGCCCGCGCCGCAGGCGCTGATCCGGGCGCCACCGCCAATGGCTATGGTCTCTAGCTTCCTCCCGCGGCATTTCGCAGAACAGCACCGAAGCCTGCTGCCACGGCTCGTCCGTCCCGCACCACAGGCGCTGTGCCCAACGTTGTTGCTGATGACGCTGGTCTTCTGACTTCCTTCAGATGTCCGCTGGGCAGCGCCGGAGCCTGCTGCGACGATTCGGCACCCTCGCACAGCCGGCGCCAGTCCCAGCGCTGTAGCCGGCGGCGCCAGTCCCCAACATCTTCTCGCGACAGCTCGCTGAGCAGACTGGGGCCCGCCGCCAATGCTCGCCCGTCTCGAATCGCGGGCGCTGGCCCCAGCGTCGCGGCTGATGGCGCTGACCCCCAGCTGCCTTTCCAAGCCGCTCGCTGAGCAGCGCTAGAACCTGCGGCCACGGCACGCCCATCCTGCACCGCACGCGTTGATCCCAGCATCGCGGCCGATGACGCTCGCTTCCAGCGTCTCTAGCAGCAGCCCGCTGCGCCGCGCAGGAGACAGCTGCCAAAGCTCGCCCGCCTCGCATCGCCTGCGCGCAACCCAGCGTCGTTGCTGACGACGCGGGTCTCCAGCTCCCTCACGTTGCAAGTCGCCGAGCAGCGCCTGCCGCCACGGCTCGCCTGTCTCTCATCGCAGGCGCCGCTCCCAGCGCCATGGCTGACGACGCTAGACTCTAGTTTCGCCTCACAACAACTCGCCGCGCAGCGCCCGGGCCCGCGGCCGCGGATCGCCCGATCGCATCGCAGGCGCTGTTCTCCGCGATGTTGCTGATGACGCTGGCCCCCAGCCTCCCTGCACCAGCTCGCCGGGCGGCGCTGGAGCCTGCTGCCACTGCTCGCCCGTCTCGCATCGCAGGCGCTGGCCTGGCGATGTAGCCGTTGGCGCTGGTCGCAAGCTTCCGTGCGCGGCGTTTCGCTGAGCGGCGCGCACAGCAGCGTCGAGGCCCGCTGCCGCGGCTTGTCCGTCTCGCGCAGCAAGCGCCGATCCCGGCGCAGCCGCTGGCGACAACGGCATCCTGCTTCCTCTTGAAGCAGCACGCAGAGCAGCGCCTGCCTGCCGCTGCGGCTCGCCTGCCTCGCATCACAAGCGCCGACCGCAGCTTCCTCTCGCGGCACCTCCTGAGCAGCTCGTTGAGCAGCGCCGGGGCCTGCTGCCGCGGATCGCCAGTCTCGCCCTCTGGCGCGAGGCGCCCGCCACACTTGAGCGGGGGCGCCTCTGGCCCAAGTCGCCCGTCACGTTTGGGCGAGGCCGCCGCCAGCGCGAGCCACCCGCCACTCGCGGGCGGGGCCGCCTCTGGCTCGAGACGCCCGCCACACCTGGGCGGGGCCGCCACTGCTGCGAGACGCCCGCCACACTTGGGCGGGGCTGCCTCTGGCGCGAGCCGCCCGCCACACCTGGGCCAGGCCGCCGACGGCGCGAGCCGCCCGTCGCACCTGGGCGGCGCCGAATCAGGCACGAGCCGCCCGTCACACCTGAGCGGGGCCGCGAGTGCCAACCCTGGCGCTGCCGCTAATGACGACGGCCCCCAGTTCACACTGCAGCCGCTCGCCGAGCAGCGCTCGAGCCTGCTGCCGCGGCTCGCCGGCACCGCATCACAGGCGCTGACCGCGCCGCTGTAGCAGTTGACGCCGGTCTCCAGTTCCTCCCGCAGCAGCTCACGTGCCAGAACCAGCTGCCGCGGCCCTCGTCTCGCCTCGCAGGCGCTGATCCCTGCAACGTGGCTGGCGGCGCTGGTCTCCAGCCTCCACTCGTTGCAGCTTGCTGAGCAGTGCCGGAGCCCGCTGCCCCCGCCCGCGCGTCTCGCACCGCGGGCGCTGATCCCGGCGTCGCGGCCGCCGACGCCGGCCCAGCCTCCGGCTTCTGTCTTTCGCAGCAGCCCGCTGCGCCGCACCGGTGGACGCTGCCGAGTTCGCCCGTCTCGCATCATGCACTGAGCCCAGCGTTGCACTTGGTGACGCCGGTCTCCAGCTCCTCTCGTCGCAGCTCGCCAAGCAGCGCCAGGGGCGCCCCCCTGGCTCGCCCGTCTCGCGTCGCGGGCGCGGCGGACTCCAGCTTCCCGCAGCTCGACGCGCAGCGCCTACGCCTGCGGCCCTGGCTCGCCCGTCTCGCATCGCGGGCGTTGGTACCAGCGTTGTAGCTGACGACTCCAGTCTCTAGCTCCCTCTCGCCGCGGCTTGCTGGGCAGCACTACGGCCTGCTGCCACTGCTCGCCCGCGTCGCATCGCAGGCGCTGGCCCCAGCATTGCAGCTGCTGGGGCTGGTCCCCAGCATCTCCCCGACGCAGCTCGCTGAGCCGCGCCGAAGCCTGAAACCGTAGCTCGGCCGCCTCGCGGCGCGGGCACAGGCCCCAGCGTCGTAGCCGATGACGCTGGTTTCCAGCTCACTCTCGCAGCAGCTCGCCGAGCTGCGCCAGAGCCTGCTGCGACGGCTCATCCTTCTCGCATCGCGGGCGCTGATCCCCGCGCTGGGCCTGCAGCACGTTGGCGATGCCGCGATGCCCCTGCAGCCCGGCGATTGCCATGCCCACGGACCCCCGGTCGCTCGCCATCGGGGCAGCCTGCAGCGCTGCCACGACGGCGCCGCAGTCGAAATAATCGCCTGTCCTGGGCGTCGCGAGCCCGACGCGCACGTCCTCCACGCCGGCCAGGCTCAGAGCGAGCTTCCTGGCGATGACGAAGCCCCCCTGAATGAATGGGCCGATGCCGTCGAGTGCAATGACGGGTCCTGCTTGGCGCCGCAGATCTCGTCGCCGACGCATCCCGGGCGTCGCCCCCCTGCATCTCGTAGAAGACGGGGCGCCCAGGCCTTGGGCGCTCGCCGTTCGCGCGGACGAGGGCGCCAACCTTCCGCGCGCGCCCCCGGGCGCTGCCGCCGCGGGCCATCGAGCAAAACGCCCGCGCAATTTACGGCCGAGCACGCAGTCGCGGCCAGGCGAACAGGCTTTGCACGGCCGCCCCATCGCGCACGGCGTCGCACGCCGCACCCCCCCTCTTCACCCGCCCCCCCTGGGGCGCGAGGAGTTCGGGCCTGGCGAGACGCTTCACGCCACCGCGCGCATCGACGTCGACGCCCCCGAGATAGGCCGGACAACGGTTGTCGCAGTCTACGGGCACTGACCTGTCCCTTGCGTTCATCTCGCTCGACCTCGTCATCACCATCTGCTGGTTCATGTTTTTCTTGGGCGCCTTCGCATGCGGCCCGATCATGCTCCACGATGTGAATCAGCTCTTCCACCAAGTCCTTGAACTTGCCCTACTCCAGCGCCATGCGGTCGTGGAGGTAGCCGCAGTTGACCTTGCCGTTGATGCCCTTCCTCGGGCCACTCTCTGGTTGCTTGACCGGCTGCGGCGCGGTCACCTGGCCGATACGCGGCAGCGATGGCGCCTCAGAGCTGGCGGCCCCCAGAACATCCTGAAGCGTCTTATTCGCCTGCGTCGACTGATTCAGCTTCGCTGGCGAGGAGGCGTCGCCCACCTCCCCCTGGATGCCATTGTCCGTTTTGCAAATCTGGAGCTACGCGAGGGAGCACGCATCGACTCCGCATGCGTTCGGGCCCTTGGATAGCTGCGGGATATCGGCGACGATATCCTGGTCATCCTGGCGCAACGGCCACTCGTACGCGTCCTTCTAGCAGGTCTCTCGGCAGCCCCCACCCTCAGGTGGGCGCCGCCGCGACGGGGGAGCCCTTCCTGTCCGTGGATTCCCGCCCTTCCGCCGCGGGAGGGGGCAGGGGACCAGGACGGGAAGGCTGCCCCAATCGCGCCGGGCTGTATGGAGGATGGGTAGGAGGGCGACCTGAGGATCGTGAAGAGGGGTCAAGACGATCGGACCCCGTCCCAAAGGGTCGCGTGGGACTCCCACGCTCTTAACGGTCGCCAAGCCGGCTCCGCCTGTACGACGGTGTCGTCCCTGGGAAGAGGCGGGCATGGCCACGGGCCACGGCATGCTGCCCGCGCTTGCACCCACCCTGCCACCGTTTGCATCGGCGGCCCAGGGCAGGTGCTAAGGGCCCCTCTCATTCACCAGTCGCCACGCGGCGTTGAGGGCGCGCGGCCCAAGGGCCAGCATCAGCGCCCAACCACTGTTCCAAATCGGCCAAGCGCCTGAGCCCAAGTGGCCACCGACATCGGGCAGAGAGGAGAATGCACTTGCGTGTTGGTATACGAGAGCGCCGTCATCAACGTCATCGTCATCAACGTCACCATCGTCATCATCATCGTCACCATCATCACCATCACCATCACCATCACCATCACCATCACCATCACCATCACCACAATCATCATCATCATCATCATCATCATCATCATCATCATCATCATCATCATCATCGTCGTCGTCGTCGTCGTCATCATCATCGTCGTCGTCGTCGTCGTCATCATCGTCATCAGCATCATCACCACCACAGTCATCATCATCAGCATCATCATCATCACAACCATCAACAATAACATCATCCGTCTTCTCGTCCTCCTCGTTCTCATCCTCCTCATAAGGTCCGTCGCACCTCCTCCACCCGAAGTCAGGATGATCTGGCTGCCGTTGCTCGCGAGGCCAAGGACCGGGAAAGGCGTATAGTAAGTGCCAGACCGCCCCGCCTGAAGCTGCGCCGGAGACGCCATGCGCCCCTAGGCGGGGGCATCTCCCTCCATCCCTCCTCGTCCTCATCGCTCATTTCATCTCAGATTCCTTCCCTCCCTCCTTCCTCCTCCCCCCCCACATCATTGCTCAAACCTTCCCATCCTCCTCGCGAACATCATCACCATCATCATCATCATCATCATCATCATCATCATCAGCAGCATCATCTTCATCATTATTATCATCAGCATCATCATCACGACCATCATCATCATCATCATCAGCAGCAGCAGCAGCGGCATCATCATCATCAGCATCATCATAATCACCATCATCATCAGCATCATCAGCAGAATCAGCATCATCATTGTCAGCAGCATCAACATCAGCATCAGTATCATCATCATCATCCTCACCATCATCACCACCATCATCATCATCATCATCATCAGGTACGGGGGTGAAAGGGAGCCCCCTGCAAAATGACAAATCCGAAAAAATTAAAATGGCTGGTTTTCCGTAGACGACCTCCCATCTCGTATCGGGCATCCACTCCTCGAGCCCTCACATCGTCGCTACGGAGATAAAGGGGAGTAATTGGTTCAGAATGATGACGATGAGGAGGGCGGAGGAAGACAGACTCCTCAACATCAGTATCCGTTGTTCTCCTCATCGACATCCTCTTCCGTCCGTCTCCTCCTCCTCCTCCTCCTCTCAATTGTCAGCCACATCATCGTCATCATCCTATCCCTTCTCCTCCTCCTCCTCCTCCTCCTCCTCCCTCCTCCTCCTCTTCATCCTACGTTTCCTGCTCCTCCTCCTCCTGTCGGTCCTGCCACCTCCTCCGTCTCATCCAAACACGATTCCTCCTCCTCATCATCCTCATCATCAGCATCATCATACCCCCCCCCTCCTACACTACACCTGCTCCGCCTCCTCCGCCCGCCATCCTCTGCCTCATGTGACCTCCCCTACTCATAACACTTTTCCCTCCTCCGTCTATAGGGGCGATGGGAGGAGGCTGAGAAGGTGGAGGACGAGCCATGTAGCGAGGAGGACGAGGAAGAGGAGCTGGACATTGGCATCCTGCTGCTCATCCTCCTCCTACCCCTTCTTCTCCTCGTCTTCCTCATCTTCCTCCAGCCCCTCTCATCATATCACTCCCCTTCTCCTCCCAGTATGAGAAATATGAGGGGGGAAACGGGATATGTGGAGGAATGATATGATGATGAAAGGGGGCGGTTGGTTCAGTGACGGTACGGAAGGGGGAGAAGGAAGAGATACTCGTCAACATCAGTATCATGCTTCTCCTCCTTCCCATCATCTTCCTCCTCCTCCTCCCCCTCCTCCTCCTCCTCCTCCTCCTCCTCCTCCTCCTGCTCCTGGTAAGTGTCCGCCACAGCATCGTCATCATCCTCCACCTCCTCCTCCTCCTCCTCCTCCTCCTCCTCCTCCTCCTGGTCCTCCTCCTCCTCCTCCTCCTACTCCTACTCCTCGTCATCATACGTTGCCTGCTGTTCCACCTGTTATTCCTCCTCCTTCGCGTTTCCCTTCCTTCTCATCAGCAGACTCATCCTCCTACACTTCACCTGCTCCGCGTCCCCTGCCCAAACCCCCTGCCTCATCTAACCTCCCCTACTCATCCTTACTCATAACACCTCCTCCCCCTTCCATAGGGGGCGATGGGAGGAGGCCGAGAAGGTGGAGGAAAAGCCATATAGCGAGGAGGAGGACTGGGGACTAAGAAGAGGCGTGAGATGATCAGGAAGAGGATGAAGAGGAAGAGGATCTGAGTCTTCCTGCCCCGCCTTCTCCTCTGTTCTTCCCTCTGTCTCCTCCTCCTCCAGCACGAAGGAGTGGGACGAGGAGGAGAAGGAGGAGGAGGAGGAGGAATGCGATGAGGAGAGAAGCGTGAAAATGGGCACGATGAGGAGGATACGGCCGAAAAGGATGAGGAGGAGGAGGGGCAGGAGGACGATAATGAAGAGTAGACGGACAATGATGCTGAGGAGCACGTATTCCTCCACCTCCTTGCCACCATCGTGCTCCAAAAACTTCCATGCCTCCCCATCACCATCATTATTTCACTCCTGTTCCTCCTCATATCCCTCCTATGAGAAGAGGAGGGGGAGAACGGAAGAAGAAGAGTGACCCCTCAACCTTATCCTCCTCCTCTCTATCCTTCTGGCCACTCCTCGTCCTCCCTTCTCCTCCTCCTCCTTCCTCCTCCTTCCTGCTTGCCCTGCTCCAGGGGGGGAGCAGGAGGGAGAGGGGTGGAGGAGGAATGGAATGGAGGAGTAATGGAATGGAGGGGAACCGGAATGGAGGAGTGGATGGAGGGAGAGAGGCCCCCCTCGCCTCTCACTCGTCACTCCTCCTCCCCCTCTTCCAGAGCAGGAGCAGGATGAAGACCATTCCTCCATACCAATCCTCCTCCATTCCAATCCTCCTCCTCCTCCATTCCAATCCTCCTCCTCCTCCGCCTCCTCCGCCTCCTCCTCCTCCTCCTCCTCCTCCTCCTCCTCCGCCTCCTCCTCCTGGTCCTCCCAATCAGAATTCCTGTGGAGGGCGGAATCAAGCAAAACCATAAAAAAACCTGGTGAACTTTCTGGGGGGGAGGGGGGGGGAGTTGCCCAGGATTAGTATTGGTTTTTGTTGCTGTTACTTTCTCCTATGGTGTTGCTTGATGATGCTCCGTAAGGGGGTTATGATGGGGAGGAGGAGGAGGAAGAGGAGGAGGAGGAACCAGAGGAGGAGAAGGAGGAGAAGGAGGACGAGGAGGAAGAGAGAGATAGAGAGAGGGGGTGGAAAATGGAAGAGGAGGAATGCGAAGTGGAATGGGGTTGGTTTGAGTGGTTTACGCCCGCTGTCATTCTGCAGGGGGAGCCTTTCACCCCGAAGCCCATCATCCTCATCATCATCATCATCATCAGCAGCATCATCATCATCATCAGAATCCGAATCAGCATCAGCATCAGCATCACCATCATCAGTTCCATCTTCATCATCCTCATCATCAACAACATCATCAGCATCATCAGCCTTATCAGCATCATCAGCATCATCGTCAGCATCATCAGCAGCACCATCACCGTCACCAATCGTCATTGCCATCAGTAGCATCACAACATAATCGCCATCATTGCCACCACCAGTAGAAACGCCGTCGCCGTCATCACATCATTGTTCCTAAAGCATGATCATACTATCCGTCCTCTCATCAACATCCTAATCATGCTTGTCCTCCTCGGCATCCTCCGCTTGCCCTCCCTCCCCTCGCGTTCCCTCATCCATTCCCTGATTTTCCCCTCATTCTTCTCCTTCTCCTCCTCCTCCTCCTCCTCCTCCTCCTCCTCCGCTTCATCTTCATTTTCTTCCTCTCAACCTCATCTCTCCCTTTCAAGTCCTCCCCATCCTCCTCCTCCTCCTCCTGCTCCCTCTCCCCATGCCGACGGCTGCCCGTCATACGCCCTAGGGAAGGGCACTCGTGCGAGAGGCATGGGGCGCCGTAAGGGGGTGCTGACAGCCCACTCCCAAGGACCATCACAACCTGCACCTCCTAGGCCAGGGGGTTGGAGCGACACTTACGTCCTGCTCCTATCGCTGCTGAGTGTCCTTCCCCATCACGCTCCTGCCCTGGTGTCCTTCCTTGCTTGAGCTTATCCTGATACCTCTGGTATGGTGAGGGCATTGGAAAAGACACCCACGGATAAGAAATCCAGAGTCTAGAAGCCAGTTGAACTCCAATCGTGGAACGGCCATGAATAACACGCCGCCCTCAATAGGTAAGGAATCCTCCAGGGTCCGAATCCTTCTGGGCACATTCCTCCTTGAGGAACGCCCCCACCGAATGCCCCCACCCCCACCCCATGGCTCGTGTGCGCGCTGCGGCGCACACAGTGGGGCAGACCGCCACCTCTGCTGCGGCACAGACCACCCCGCGCCCTCTGCCCCGATAAGTCGTTCTCTTCTCTCGTTGCAGCCTGTGGCTCCCATTGCCTGCGTACACATATGGTGCCAGTAGCTATCATTACTTCCCTCTCTCTCGCTCGCAGTCTCTCTATCTCTCTGTCTCTCCCCCCTCTCGTTCTGTAAATGTATGTGCTTGTGTTTCTCTCTCTCTCTCTCTCTGGTTACATCCTCCTCTGTCTCTCTTTCTCTATTACTTCCTTATGTGTGCCTCTCGTCTGAATGTTGCTCGCTCGCTCGATCAATATCTACGTATATATGTATGTAGATGGGTCCACACACAACCACACACACACACACACGCACAATTGTGCCACTAGGCGCCCAGTGGAGTGTCATCAGGTCCCTTTGAGCTCCCTAAATCCAACACTGCAGATGCTCGTGCAAAAGGGGCCCAAAAAAATAATCAATGGATCTCCTGGAGGGGAGGGGGGGTGTTCCGCGAGAGTTTTGGGCACGGTCGCAAGACTGTCCCAGAGGCTGGGCGCCGTCAAGACTCGGCAACTGAGTCCCAAGAGGGCCCCACGACGTTCCAAGAGGGGCTAGAGACGGCCCAAGAGCGCTCCGAGCCGCCCAAGCTGCCAGGCTGGCCTCAAGACAGCCGAACAGGCGCCTAAGACGCGCCAAGAGGGCCCCAAGAAGAGCCCCCAGAGGGCGCCAAGGGGCAAGAAACACTGATGATCCTGAGGCGCTTGCAGAAAAATAAACAAGTCTCTCCTTTTCGAGCTTCAGCCCGCCCAAGACGGCCCAAAGGGCTGCTGAGATCGTTCGAAGAGGGAGCCCGTCCACCAAAGATTGCCCCCGAGGGCCCCCGAGGCCCCACAGAAGCGCCCAAGAGGTCCCAAGAAGCGCCGAAGAGGCCTCCAAGAATCCCTCCAAAGGCCCCCAACTCTGGGCTCGTCAAGCGAGAAGCGGGCGCACACCCTTGTCTTCTGTCTCTTCCCTGCTTCCCTCCCTCCTTCACCCCCAAAAGCCTCCCCACTGGGGTCGGCGCAGATGGGGTCGGAGGATCACGCCGCATCGCCGATCGGCGACGTCGGTGCTGCATCGGCGCCGCCGGCGTGGAGAACGC